CATCCCACGAGACCGTACTTTGTAACGACTACATTAGTTCACCCACTCCCCGATTCAAACGGGGATGGCCGACCTCACTGCGGGAGACGTTACTCCCAACTAACACGGTAACGGGACCTGACACAACGAAAATTCAGGACCTACTCCACCAAACCCGTCAGGACCCCAGTATATTAAGATCTCACCCCCAGGGGCGATGGTAATGCGTAATCTTGCTCTCTAGCTCTCTAATTCTCTGACATAATTTTCAAGCTCTCTATTACAAAGTGCTAACTTAACCATCGGAGTGTCCTCGCTGGGCAAGACACCCCGAAGTCTCTGACTCCTTTGCTTCAGGAACCTCAGTTCTCGTCGCTACTGATAGCCAGATCGTATCCAGCAAGGAGCGGCTGGATTATGCCACATCACCAACCATTCCACTGGCGATTCCATTGCTACCATCCACCATTGCAATCTATGCAGAGGATGTGCATTCATGTTCTAGAACAATTATTATGCTCATTCTATCATATCTGTGATATAATATAGAAAAGATCCCCTTTTTATTTTCTACTTGAAAACCAATCAATAAGAACGATCAAGATAATTAACCGTGAGATATGGTATGAACGGAACAAAGTTGCAGGAGAACCATGCCCAACGAACTAAAACAATTTTAGAAGGAACAGAAAATGAGAAAACGGCTATTGGACGAAATCAATAAGAAGAAAATGACTTGCTTCACGATTAATTACTTATAAAATCGAAGAAATAATCTATCGGCAAATGGAAACATCAAAATCTATGGTTTTCATGTAGAGGAAGTGGATTTAACAAGGCGTGTGGTCTGATTTGGTGGCAAAAAGTATCGGAATTGAATTGGCTTGGTGGTCTTGCAAGCTCGTCAGTGGAATCTCAAAATCAAGCTAGTCCATGGCTGGTTATTTTCCTTAGAGTTCTCTAATTTTAGAAGTTTAATGAGAAAAAGGTGTACTCAGATCTATTTGCTACACAACTTTATTTTGTAGAGTCAAAAGGTGTTTTTTTAACACAATAAGCCATTATTACTGTATAGTTTCCTCAAAGTATCAATAAAATTTCAATTAGCAGCGGTAGCACCAGAGAGAGAGAGAGACCAAGGAGATTTGTGCAGCCAATGAGGGTGGAAGTGGGTGAGTCCGAGGGAGAAACAAAGAGGCGGTTACATTATCACCTTGTAGATCAGGTTTCAAGTTATCAAGATGAAACCCGAGACGTAAAACTTGGGGGCTAAAAGAATCTGCGGTGGTTGAATGCTACCTCTCTTCTTGACTTGATGGAGTTTAGGGGTAGGATTTAGTTTCTTTTGGATAAATCAAGTGAAATTTTTCTTATTATTCTAAATGTAATGTTTCAATTTTGTTATTTTTCTCATTTCTTCTATTAATTAATAATTTTTTTTAATAATAATAATAATAATAGTGGTAGCAACAGTAATTGTAACAATAGCAGTAGTAGTAGCAATTATTAGTCGACTAATTAGTAGTAGTACCAATTGTTAGTTGACTAGTTAATAATAATAATAATAGTGGTAGTAACAATAGCAGCAGTAGTAGTAGCACCAATTGTTAGTTGACTAGTTAATAGTAGCAGCAATAGCAGCAACAACAACAACAATAGTAGTAGTAGTAGTAGTAGTATAGATCAAATCAACTAAGTTGCTTCCTTTCTTCTAAATTGTTTTTTTTTTTTTACGTGAAATGTAAACTATTTATAATTGTTAGTTGACTACTTATTATTTTATTTAATGCTTAAATGCCTCAACTCAATACTTATAAACTTCTTATTTATGGACATGTATACTTTCTATAATTTTAATTTGGCACATTATATGTTATTTTCATCTATTTACAAACATTAATTCATTTTTTCCTTGAACTTTGAGGCTTAGGCCTTATAATGCCTTGAGGCTTAAGCCTCACCTTTATGGGCCATTATGCTTCAACTATGCCTTTAGCCTTATGGTTGGGCTTGGGTTGACTCTCAATCCACTCAATTGCATTGGATTGGATTCAATGCACACTGTTTCTCACAACCATTTACAGGCGTGCATTGGAAATTTGTCCATACTTGTATGCTTTTTTTTTATCATGGGAGATATTCCCAATGCAAGGTTGCAAGAGGTTGTTTGAATGGTGAACAATTTTGTATGGACCAAATCTGATTTTGAGTTGCACTCATAACTAGGATCTTCATGAATCACATTATGATACTTGTTCACGGGTTGGCTCAGGCTGGGTTCAAGTTGAGCTTTTCATCTTTATAAATAGAAAATGACTAGGTATGAGCCGATCTAAACAAATATTTTATATTATATTAGTTATATATTATTAATAATATATTATATATTATATAATATTCTATATATTATAATATATAATACATAATACAATACATAATACCTCTTCACTATTAATTTTATGATTATATAATATATTATATTATTAATACATGTTATATTTTTACTATATACGTATAACATGATCAGGTCGAGATTGGGTTCAGGCTGACTTATTTGAGAAAACTTGCACTCGACAAAAAAAAAGAAAGAAGAAGTTGGACCTGATGTTTAAAATCCAAACCCATGGGCTTAAAATTTTGTCCATGCCCAATTTAAAATGGATCGATCAGCCCATTTGGCTACCCGACCCAGGAACTGGTTTTATTTAGGAAAAATTTTCAATAGGTACCCTGCACTTTAGGTCGAGTGCCAATTTAGTACTCAAACTTTAAAATGCGACAATCTAGTATCCAAACTTTCGAAATACAACAATCTAGTACCTGTTGTTAACTAAATGTTAAAAGACACAAATGCCCTTCAAGTGTCATCTAATTTTCTTTATCAACCATCTGCAATCTGAAAGTCTACAACAACTACAGAGAGAGAGCTTGTCGTCGTCATCTTCAACCGCCCAGGAAGAGCAATGAAAGCAATCTAATTTTCTTGTCCTTAACGAGAAAGAGCCCCAGGTCATCAGAGTTGTCGTCTTCAACTGCCAAGGAAGAGCAATTGAAGCCGGTCGTCGCGGACCTGTCATAGAAGCTCATTCAAGCCACTCATCTCGATGTATGTAGCAATTCACCACATCTAGTGTTGAAAAATATCAACCCTGTAATGGTGATGAGTGTAGTCAAATGATTCAAACATCAAGACTTAGTCATTGAATGATTTCTCAACTCGGTGTCAAGCCCGATCTTCTGTTCAGACTCTGAGCCGGTCTCTCATCTTCTAGCTCCGACAGATGGGTTGCAGAGTCTATGAGCGCATCTCTGCTCTTCTCCAACCTTATGACGTAAAGGTTTCATTTTCCAAGAACCCAAGAAGCACCATGTTCTACTAGAAATCACTTCTAAACTGAGCATTATATGAAGACTTCGAATCCATCAGATTTCAGAAAAGTGGGTCCAAGTGAATCCTCAACCCAATACAAAAAATGTGAAGCAAACTACGCTTCCTTCGCTCTTCTCAGGGGACTCACCTGGGACAAGGTGTTGAACAAAGGAACCAAACACTTCAGCAAGGAGTTCAGCCGGTTTTGCGATCGAAAGATAAGCAAGATCGTGACGATGTTCAGTTGGAACTGGGCGTGGCCGGAGCCACTGCTTTAAGCATTCGTTAGTGCGGCAAAGAATGTTTGGTTGGTTCATCTGTTGGCTTGTTCGGTGCACCCATGCTTGCCTGTATTCATGGTAGATAAAGGGATGATGTTCAATGGGGTGTACATGGAGGACATGGGTGCAGACAAAGCTTGGAAGCTGGTTCTGGCCGTGCTCCGAATCATGGTGGCACTAGGATTCTACGCCTATAGCAATGTGGTCAAGTGCAAGGTTCTGCGTAGGTACGATAATACTGGTAAGGGTTTATCACCCTAAAACAAACAACTCGATTAGATGAATTATGTAAAAGAGGTTTTGGGCTTTGAAGTGAAAGCTTCTTCTTAGTTTTTACTTACAATTCCGGCCGAGATGCATGTGCAAGTATGGCATTCGGGTTAATTGCATCTCACCGTTCGCCATTCTGACCCCGTTTGTGATGGAAGAAATGGTCAAGATGTTTCTCGACGTTGATGAGCAGCGCCTTGTGGAGATGGTTCAGGTCCCAGAGAGTTGGTAGGGGCCAACTGTGAAGCTGAAGACATTGCAAATGCCGCACTGTATGATGATGCTAAATACGTGAGCGGCCATGGTGGTGGATGGAAGCTTCACCTTCATCAAGAGATTTGGGTTCCTAGAATGGGATTTTCATTTTCTTGAGAAAGAAATGATGAATAGTGTATTTTATTTATAAAGATAATTTTAATATTTTCAAAAATCTTAAATTGCACTTCAATTCTATTTGGGCCTAAAAATTCTGACCCCGGGCTGAATCGCCATTCTACCCGATAAGTACTTTGTACTTTAGGCCAAGTGCTAATTTAGTACTAGAACTTTAAAATGTGACAATTTAGTACCTGAACTTTTAAAATGCTAGTATCTACTGTTAATGGACCACCAATTATATATATCAAATGACCTCATTAGGGAGAATGAAGGTTCAACCTGCGGTCAGAATTTTTTGGCCCACAATTGGAGTAGATGAATTGATGCTAATTCACGGGTGGGCATTGGCGTATGAAGTGGGGTTTTTGACATTTTGAATGTTTTTAAGTCTGAATTCAGAAATCTGCATTGGCCGTGTCCTACCATGCATTGGAAACATCTCCTATACTTCTTTTAAGTTATTATTCACGGGAGATGTTCCCAATGCACGGTAAATGTGCATCTGAGGCGCCCAAGTGTCAGTAGCAGATCCCGTTCATCTATTTGCCTCCAGCTACAGGAAACCGTTGGATATTATCTGTAATTTGAGTGAATTAATGGGTAACCGATACAAATTGACGATGTACCCTCCTAGATTTGAGCGCGCTGACTCTTTTTAGTTTTTACGTTGTCATGAATTCTAAAACGTCAAAGCAACATCATTAATTGATAGCCATGTCGAAAAGCCATCTCCATGCTCTTCTTATGCTGTTATCTTCGTTTTGTTTCTTAGAGATGCAGGAAGCTGCACAAAGGGAATTTGATTACTTTTCTTTATCTCTTCTATGGCCTGGTACTCTTTGTCAGAAGACGCAGCGTTGTTGTTCGTCAAACGGATGTTGCAGAAAGTAAATTTTGCTTCCCCCTAGTTTCTTATTCTTAACTTCTTTCTCATTCTCTTGATTTCTTGATGTGGGTAGTTTTGTCCGTTTATTGTAATTAATTTTCTTATTTTTATTTGCTCTCTTTTTATATTTTGCTGCAATGGGTTATCTTTCTTTGGTGAGCTGGTTGCTGTTTCTGATTCTGATATTATTATGTTTCAATAATTTGGGTACGGTTCTTTTGTATTTTTGGATTGAAGAGTACTCTTTCTCACTTTTTTTCCCCCCAGAATTTAGTGTCCATTGATAATTGATAAAATTTATTTATATCTCCCTGATACATTGGAGTTTTAGTATTATTGTTATGAGCCATTCAGGTGGTACTGGTTTGTGGTTCTGAAAAAAGGTGGTATGGTTTATAAAATGGCAATGCTTATTTTTGAACTAGACATTACAAAGGGAGGCTGTGCTACTGGTGGTTTATAGATTGTGTGACTCATCTGTACATGTACTCTAACCACTGACTTTTGATGGTATGGTCGCTATTGAGCAAAAAAAACACGATTGGAACATTTTTAGTGTGTGAGATACAACAGATAACTGCCATGCCATGCTTACATCAGTACCATGTTGTTTGGGTCAGAACACAAAAAATTGGCATGTTCAAAGAAAAAATAGAGGGTTTTGCTGGTTCTAGAACCATGAATTGCTGGCTCCAGAACCACCAACGTAGATGAATGCACCAAATAGGATTTCTCATCCTAGAATTTGATGAAAAACAAAGAAAACCACGAACCGAACATTACCTCAATGGTTCAGGGCCAGATTTCTTATGGAATTCTTGCTTCGTTATATCTTCAAATCAAAAGAAAGTTACAGTAGATATCTTTATTTCTTCTTTTAGCTAATATTTCATCAATGAGATGCACTAATATTTACAAAGTGTAGTAATGCTTATTAGTTTTGTCAGAAAAATGGTGTAAAACATATCAGCATGCTGTTTCATGGCCAATGCATTCCTGAATTAGGTTCCTACACATGTATACATTTGCATTCTTGTTATTTGGCCCTTAAATGCCTGGATTGTTATTTTGAGCTTCTACCACAGTACCACCTGAATGTGCATCATCACTGCTACTTCTTTACTTGCATGATAGTTCTTGTAAATTATTGACCATTTTAAAAGCATGGAGTCATGAATCGTAATTTAATCAAACTTATATGGATACTTCCTTGAAGAATATGTTATAGTGAGTGGGATGTGTCTATGAGCACGATTTATCTTTTTGACTCTTCACAAACTTATCTAACATTTTATCTATAGGTTTTAAGGTGAGTTGGCCATTTGGCTACTATCCACACAAATTTTGCGTATTGGATGAATACAAAATATGGAGACAAGTACAAAAGTGAATTTGCAATGCTGAAAACACAAAGGAATGTAAGTCCCTTAATCCTTCTAGATCATGTAAGCAACTTCTGATTCAAGCTTCATGCTTGAATGATTGTGAAGGTGATTTAAAGTGCTTTTCTAAGAAGGGCCTCCTGTGGTGGTTTAGTATTCTTTTAGAGCTTAAATCCAAGTATGAAGTACAAAGACAAAAGAATTACTTGTCATTTCTCTCATAAACTTAAAGTAGTACTGGAGTGGATTTGTGAGCTTGGAAGTGTTTGCAAGCTTGATTTAGAAAAAAAAGCCTATGACTTGGTTGATTGGTTATTTTTAGAAGAGGTGATGAGAAGTTTTGGGTTTGGAGATAGGTGGTGTATGTGTTGTTTAAGGACTTGCCATTACTCCATCTTGGTGAATGGAATTGTTGTGGATCACTTCCCTGCTATTAGAGGAATTAGACAAGAGGACCCACTCTCCCATTTCTTTTTACTTTAATTGCAGAGGTTCTTGGTAAACTAATTTGTAGGGCAAGCTCTAGAAACCTAGTGAGGGTCTGGAGAGTTGGTAGGGATAGGGTGCCGATCATTCATTTATAGTTAGTTGATGATACTATTATTTTCTGTTAGGGGGATGAATTAAGGAGGGTTAGGAATTCGAAGTTGGTGGTTCAACTCTTTGAGCAAATGTCAAACCTAAAGGTCAATTTTAATAAGAGTTGTGTGGTGGAGGGTGAATAAGGATGAGAGGGAAATGTCAGAATGTGCAGATATTTTGAGGTGTAAGGTATCTCACAAGCTAATGAACTACTTGGCATTACCTTTGGGTGATAATTCAAGAAGTAGTAACTTTTGGAATTCAGTGGTTGAGAGATTCACCAAAAGGTTTGCCTCTTGGAAGAAAAACCATCTTTCTCTAGGTGGTAGGATTACCTTGATAAAGGCTATGTTGGCTAACTTGTTGGTGTACTTCCTTTCTGTCTTTAAAATCCCAGAAGGAGTGAGTAAAAGGATTGAAAAATTGATGAGGGATTTCCTATGGGAGCCAATGGAGGTGAAAAGGGGCCATAGAGTTAGTTGGGAGGTGGTTAGTAGAACCAAGAATTTTAGTGGTTTAGGGATAGGTAACATTCAAAAGAGGAATATGGCATTATTGGGGAAGTGGCTATGGAGGCTCCAAATAGATAGTGATAAACTGTGGGTTAAGGTGATTTTGAGCATACATGGGATTGTGGTTAATGTCTAGATGTGGGAGTATTGTCTAGGGCTATAAGAGCATCACCTTGGAACTCCATACACGACATTCTTCCATCCTTCCTTCCATTTATTAGGTATAACTTGTGCTTTGGCAATGGTGTTAAATTTTGGTAATTTGGGTGGGTGACTTGGCTTTGAAAACAATACCCATTCTTGTTTACTATTTCAAACCGTAAAGATGAACCTATGTCTAATTTTGTGGTTCCTTATAATTCAAGGTCTTGATTTGATTGGAACTTGGGTTTTAAGAGGGGGGATGATGAACTTAGGTTATCCGGTGACGTTCACTGGTGACTGGCCATATTATAGTCTTTGACTCTGACTCTACAGATACACTTGTTAATGAGCTTAAGTTGGCAGTAGCCAAAGGCATAAATTGGAACATTGTATCAATTTTATTTAGCTTGCTGAGACACTCTGTCTGAGCCTTGAGATTTTTTCTTCTTATGCTTGTTTGCATTTCCTTTGTAGGTTTCATCCTTGGTTGGAACACTTGAGAAGTATTGGCCTTCTTTAACATGTGATGCTTTCTCAACATGTGAGGGTGGAAAAGGATTATTTTGGGCTCATGAGGTACTTACACTTTCTAGGATTCAATTGTTATTTGATTTTCCCATCTAGTAATTTGTATAATGCTAATGATATTTCCTTGTTTTTTTGTTAACATGGATGGCTTGGATGATATACATGCAGTGGGGTAATCATCTTCAGCCTCTATTTTATTACATTGAAATCTGAAATATGGTGTTTCCATTTCATGTTCTCTTGAACCTGGATTAGAAATTGAAAACATTACTGTTTCATGAGAAACACAAAATTATGTCTATTATATAACATACAATGGTCCATTTAGGAATTGATGCTGAACATTGAATTGCAGGGCTTTGTTTGGAATTATAACCCAAAAGTGATTGTCTAGAACAATAATAACATCCTTTCCATCTGGTGTACATGTCTGCCTTATGATAATTTAAGTAACATTCCAGCTATCAATAGATAAAAATAAAACAAGAGGCTAGCAATTCAAATCTTTCAGTTGATAAATCCATAATGATGCAGAGCCAACACAGAACTGTTGTGAGCTACATTACAATGTATAAGGACCTAAGTAATTAATTCACCACCCCTAAGAGAAGAAAACATACATTCTGAGATAAGTATTTGTAAACGAATCTTCTCTATTATAGTATGCCCTATTTTCCAAGCTTTCTCTTCATAGCTTCCTATAACAATGCAGTAATGCATACACTCTTTGAGGTGCCATAGGGACCCATAATTTTGTGGAAAGAAAGGGTTTCAGGCTTTGGGATCTGGTTAAGGCCTTAAAGAAAGATTCTACCAAAAAGCTTTACATAAATCAATGATCCAAACTCATAAAATATGGTGAGAGAAGAGAGAGCAAGGAGATAAAAGAGAAGAGAAATGTTGGGTCTAACAATACCACATGCCTATGTCTTTCTCTAATGAGAGATGGTCTTTATATATATATATATATATATATATATATATATATATATATATTGATAACCCTAAAACCTATGTTTGTCCCCACAAGTATCAATTCACTTGCAACAAGTCACCACTTTGCTAAGAACTTCTCAACTGCCATCACCCATGTGCAGCAGCCACAACACTAATTCACCTATCTAGCACCTGTATCCCTCTTGGTAGTGTCCAATATAAGGCTCAAACAACCACACAAAAAAGGCCAGTCACTCATGATGGCTAAAATCAGAAACAAAGCAGGAAAAGAAAAGGTTGCAGCTCTCACGGATCTTTTTTTCTTAACAGAAACTGATTAAATGTTGAGAAAGATTAAGAGAAAATATACATGAACTTTCCTTAAAGAAACAACAGCCTTGAATATTTATTTTTTTGATAGGTAAAATAAAATTTCATTAAAATAAAAAAATACAATCTAGCGGGTGACAAGGCATCACCCACATACAACATCAGAGAAGAACTACTATAAATCAAAATAAGTTTTCCAAGTTACAAATTTGAAATCCCAGAACTGCCCCTAACTTTTCCCCCAGGTCCTTGTCAATTTGTCTGAATTCTGGTAGCATCATAACCCAACTTCTATTCCTCTCCTTCCATATATTCCAGCATATTGCAAATGAAATGCAGCTCCAAATCACCTTCGCTTTCTTGCTTCCTCGCAAATTTGGCCATGAAGAGAAGATTTGTGTAGTTGAACTTGAATGAAAATCTGAGACCCCGAACATAGCAGTGAACAATCTCCAAGTTGAAACCAGCAATCTTGCAAGAGAAAAACAAATGACTGACATTCTCCTCATGTTATTTGCAAAAATAGCACCTGTTAGCTATACTGAAGCCCCTTGATTTCAAGTGGTCCACAATCAAAATACTGTCCATGGCCATCATCCACGCAAAAGCTTCCAGCCTGGGGGGAACCAGGTTTCCCCACACCCCCTCAAATTGGCTTGAGTCTGAACCGTTCCTGCTGAGAGCCAGATAACAAGATTTAACAGAAAATTTTCCACTTGAGCACTCTTTCCACCATAGTTTATCCCTCGATTGAGTTGAATTTTTCACTCCTTCTAGCTTCCCAGGCAAAGTAATACACTTTTCCACCTCTATATCCAGCAAAGGCCTCCTAAACTTCGAGCTCCATATCAGCTGTTCGCCCCTTCTTTCATAACAAAGGTTGATAGGAACTTCAGCCTCAGCCAGCCTATACAACTTAGGACACAGTTCACTCAGCTTGCCTACCCCAAACCAATCATCCTCCCAAAGCCTGCTTCTTGAACATCCCCTACTGAAAAACTTGTTAAATTTCTAAACTCCTGATTGAAACTCATAATCCCTTTCCAACAGCCTTCAATATGTTCTGGTACCATATTCTGAAGTGAGAATATGGTGTTCCTGAAGTGTGTGCAGCAGAAGGGAAATGTCTAATATGGCCCTATATAAGTTCGGAAAGAGCTACACAAAATAGAACATAAACAATGACTGTGGGACAGAACTTAACATAACAACTGAAGTGACACAAATACCCCTATTCAAATCCTAGATTCTTAACAGATATATGTTGGATTTAAATGACAGATGTATAATCCACATGTTTTTAAATCTAAATAGAACAAGTCCATATTTGATGTCCTCAAAATTGTATTTTTTTTATCATTATACAAACTATTGTAATGACTGGCATGGTATCATTTTTATGTCCCATGTAACATTTTGTTCATGGGGCTTGTCCCTTCCTATACTTTTGATGTCGATGTAAATACAACTTATCCTTAATCCTTAAAAAAAGAAAGAAGTTTGGGTTAGCTCCTATATTAAATGTGCCATGCTCTTGGAATGAATGATATGTTAATTTCTACATGGTAACCACTAAAGGATTCTGTTTGTTCATTGGTGGGTGGATGTCTTGTGCATTTATTTATTCATGCCTTTCCACTCTGCCATTGTCCATCTTTGCTTGCATTAGCCATCTCAGTATTTATAAAGGCAGGTTGCATGAGCTGTTTATAGCCTTAATTTTTTGTCATATTCTTTTCTGTAATTCTTAGCATAAATAGGTGTTGAACATAAGGTCCTTTAGGAAGTGGAATGCAGTGCATGACTGATGCAGCCAACCTCAACTTGTTGGGATGAGCTGTTGTAATATGGTGTTTCTGTAGCATTTTGCACTAGTCCTGAACATCTCTGTTTGAAACTTGCAGAAAAGCATGGAACTTGTTCTTTTCCAGTAATCCAAGATGAGTACAGTTATTTCATAACAACCCTCAATCTCTACTTCAAATATAATGTCACGGTTAGTATTCACAGAAGCTGCTCACTCCTCCATGTTCTGAAACTATCTCTTCTTAGTCGTTGCACTTTCCACTCTGTCAATATGTAAGTAGTGAATGGTCAATATTTATCCTTTATCTTTGATGCTTCAATGTTGGGGATATTGTTGTTGACCAGCATGATTTGACCATGGTAATTCATTACATGGAAAAGGCACTGGAAGGGCGCATGCAGATGGAGCAGACTGTCACAATTTAGAGACCCTGTTCCAGCATTAAAATCTCCGCATACCTTTTAACTTGTAATCAAAGCACTGTTCATAGAAAATTGTCACCAAAAAATCATTGTATTCATCAATTGGACAGATTGTCTAGCACTATAGTTTACAATCATCACTATAGTTCAGTTGGCCAGCACAGTATGTTCTTAACTTCATGTTCGACCATCAATTCATAACTCTACTTCCTCTTTGTCCTGACCAAATAGAGGGAATCACTTCAATTTGATACTTCATTCACAAAGGAGAGAAAAAAACAGAGGAGAAACAGGGAGGCAACCAGATATGAAACCCTTCATGAATTTCCCCCAAGCAGAAAAAGTTGAAGAAAGCTGGAAGAGAGGAACACAGGTCTAACTAGGAATGAGACCTGCTTTGGTGCCATGTAAATATTAGATAACTGGTATCTGAAACAGAAGAGAGAAAAAATTGAGAAGGCAGCCATGTTTGGGAGAGAAAGATAGACTGCTGAATAGGAGGAAAAGTTGGTCTCCCAGGTGGCCAGAAGTCTATTTGTTTAGTTGTTAAATCTGACCAAATTACATGTATACCCTTTTTAGTAATAAAAGGTAGACTGATTCATCTGCACTTACTGAAGTTATAACAATGAAAAGACATAATGGCCATGTCTACTTAAAGAAAATGAATCTAACAAATAAGAAAATATAAACTGCTTAGTCAAGCATTCTCAACAAAAAAGTGTTACACGTAATGATGGTTTACTGATCTAAGTTGGTGATTACTGTTCATCTTACTATGAAAAAAAAGAAAACATAGAACTTCAAAAGAATAAATGAATTTACTGATCTGGGTAAAAGCAAACATAAGTTTTTCGTAGTTCCAAAGGTCCTGAAAATGAAATTCAATTTTGTATAATCCAATCTTCAATTACCTAAAACAGATTAAGATTTTCAGTCAATGTTGTTAGACTTGGACTGGACAGAAAACTAGAAAAGCTAACTGGATCACTGATGGTTGGTCAGATCATTCAGTCCATAAGAACTGTCAAATAGCTGGGACCAAGAAAGCTGACTGGATCACTAGTAATCAACTAGTGTGGTCCAACTCTGGCAACACTGATTTCAGCAACTCACTCATTCTTTTCCTACTAAAAGCAGTGCTAATACAATTAAGGCTCAATTTTGTAGGCCTGATCAAAGTACCATCATCATTTTTTTTAATCTTTGTCAAGCTAAGCAAGGTCATCTGAACGTATCCTGTTAAAGATGAATTAGCAAATCTTTCTTCATTTAACTGATCCACTATTCTGTTTGTTTTTTACCCTGCCCTTTAAGAACCTTCCACTTACATTAATTATTTCCCAAGGAAATAAATATTTTAGAAATGTAAGGGCCCAACTGGGTTGCAACTAGTAGCTCAACTGTTCTTCAGTCAAATTTTTTACCACTAAGCCATTATCCATGACCCGTGTATCCATTCCTGACTAATGCAGTAATGCTTATGAAATTGTATCTTATTCAATTTATGGGATTCAAAAAATTACAAGTTATTCTAGTTGTTTGGGAATATACGGTAGTTAAGTTTTATGAACTCTGTACTTGACTGAGTATAACAAAAAATCAAATTCAATTTGCCTAATGTATTGTCAAATGCATAACTCTTTCATTATGAGAAGATCAAGTACCTGAGAAACCTCATTAAGCAGTTATGTACATCTTGAGATAATTCTGATTTTTTTTGAGTATTTAAGTTAGGTTGATTATTAAAAATGTTGACTTAGCTTCACATGGAAATCTTTGGTATCAGAAAGTTTTGAGCGAGGCTGGATATGTACCTTCAAGTTCTCAAAAATATCCTTTAGAAGGGGTTGTTTCTGCCATTGAGAATGCTGTGGGGGCTTCCCCATTATTGGTTTGCTCAGATGGTGCTGTGGAAGAACTTCATATATGCTTCTCTAAAAACCTGAAGGTAGACTCATTTCCTCACCCTTTGGAAATTGGACTATATGACACTCAGCCAAAAGAAAGATGCAGTGGAATCATGCTGCTTGGTACAGGCAGTACATATGAAATTTAACAAGAGGAATGGTCATTATGTTCTGAAACTTTTCATGTGTTGCAGCCTCGTAATTGTATAACCGACTCCAGAAGCACTTGTCCTCAACATATAACTTTTCCTGGCCCTGTGCCATTAAGTAAGTTACTTTTTATCCTTTATGATATCATCATTATGACTTGCTTAACAATTGCCTTCAAAGTAGGCTCATTTAGTTTGTACAGCTTTCTGTGGAATCTTCTGAGTTGTTACTAATTGGTTTCTACTGATTAGAACGTGCTAGTTAAGCCTCCCTTCACCTGTTTCTAGTCTTAGTTCTGTGAGTTAATATTTACGTGACAATGTTCTTAAATATTGAAGTTGGTTCACTAGTTGCTTATTGAAGGAGACTAGATGTTGCAGGAATCTTCCTTGTGCAAGATGCTATGGGGTTCAAAAAGGCCTCACCTGTTCCAATTTCTGTCTTTATTTGATATAAGCTTCAGCTTAAAACTCTTAGCAGATGGCCAACACAAGCCCTTATTTGGCACACTTTCTAAAATTAAGATATTGGAACTTTAAATAGCTTGTATTATACAGGGAAAGCTTCAAGTCAAGTTTGGTTATGGGTTTGATGTGGATGGGGGGAATAAGCAGGTAGCTGTTTTAAAGCATCCGCAACCAAATGGGCAATTTGGGTTGTCAGATCATAACTTCATGTGACAAGAAACAGGTTAGGTTATGTAGGAAAGCTCCCTACCTGACCCAATTAGGAGACCTTTTTTCCTGTAAGAGTATTGTTTATAGATTGTATGACCAAACCAATTTGTTTATTTACTCATTCTGTTCAATTAAGTCATTATGAAATTTATTTTCTTCTTTTGATATCCATCAATATTGTCATAATCATCATCATTGCCTTGTCCCAACTATAATGGATCAACTAAATGAATCCACTTCTGCCATTCCATTCTATTCAGTGCAATATCTGTTAACTATGGGCCCTTGAATCATTTCTCTCTACTGCAACCCATGTCCTTTTTGGTCTGCCGCTAGCTCTTCCATCTGATGTGGAAAATGCTTACCATCTCTTGCAGCTAGGAGTGCTCATGAAAATCTAACCTGAAGCCAACAATACAACTGAAAAATCTGAGAACCAAACTGATCAGTTTGGTTTTGGTTTATTTTTTAGAGGTTCAGTTTTTGGTTTGGTTTCGTTTAACCTAGGAAAAAAATCGCAGTTAACCGAACCAGCTGGTATATTTATAATATATATATTTTTATTAATTTATATTCTAATTATATAAATTTCAAAATTGTCAAATGCTAAAATGACATTTGAGATTGCCGTTTGTAAACTCACTCAGCCACCCCTCTGTCAATTTGAATTCCTCCAGTTAGGGTTATTTGTATTATTTAATAAGTTGAATATTATGCTGTTTTTTGACAATATTGTTGATGATTTTGATTTATGTGTGCTTGGCTTATTAGAAGTTGTCATTGAAGATTGATGTGGTTTTATAATAATTATTAGTTGTTTGGTTCATTTAGTTGTATTTAGATAAATGTTGTTGAAATGTTATTATAGATATTTTGTTTTGTTGGTGATGAAATATTAGTTGGTTGTTTTCTTTAATTTAGGGAAAGAAGAGATTTTTTTTTGTTTACATGAAAATTACAATAAAAAACCAATAAACTGAACCAGTTTTGGTTCATTTAGGAAAATATGCTCACGGTTTGGTTAAGCGAACCATGAGCACCCTTACTTGAAGCCAATGATTGATTAGATTTAATTTACATTTTTCCTTGTGTCTATTTCTGCAGGGTCTGAAAACTGCATCACTGAGGTCACAGAGTTATCTGAGAATGAAACTTAAGCTCATTGCAGTATCAGTTGATAAAGGTCTATAATTTGTGCAGTAAAATTTGACGAGAATTGATCTGATAAAACCCATGGATAAATAGATCGGAATGTTGGTACACTTTCTGCTGTTAGAAGTTTTTCTTAATGGGCAGTGCAGGAAATTTCTGGTGACACACATGGTGGGGAATATCGATGTTTTGAAAACCATACCGGGCATCAAACCAGAAACCAGAAAAGCTCCCTTCTGCGGCTTGACTGGTTTGACTGTAACATCAACATAATGTCATGATGTCATAAATAAGTACAAATAGAAGAAACGAACAATATATGAACTGTTCCAATTCTTCATGCCTAAACGGTTCAAACTTCAAACTAGTTTAAACCAATGTCAAAGGTTTCTAAGAATAATCTGGGTGGTTCTTATTTGGGAACTAGGAAGGTGTCTGGTTCTGGTAGAACCAGCCAACCTGGTTTTAACTGGCCTGTCAAGTCTGATTGCATTTGGGGAGTATTGGACCCATCAAATAACAGTTTGAACTTGAGCAAAAACCGATATCTAAGATATATGAGCAGAGAAGAGAAAAGAAGAAACTGCCAGTTCTAAGGAGAGACCCAACTACAATGGAAGTAAAGAAGTAATCTCCCAGTCTTGACTCTTGAGCGAGCAAGTACATCTGCACCCTTCTCTAGTAATATCGTATAAAGTGACTAATCTACCCTTTACACTATAAAAGACTTGAGTTGCGTTTGTCGTTTGAATACGCTTTAAGATTTGTGCTTTAAAAGTACAAAGCAGAAATCGTTTGAACTTTGAATACGCTTTAAGATTACATCATTATGAACTCTTACCAAACACTTGAAAGCTTTTCTTGCTCAATTTTACTTGCCACAGCCCAAAGCTCGACAGAAGAAACCTATCCAAACATAATCCTTCATTACCCTTGCCACACACTAACTAAAGAGAAAGAACTAAAACGTAAGGGTAAATAAAGAAATAGACGGCAAGAAAAAAAGGACATATCAGTTAGTTGGCTACTCTTGGTAATTGGTAATTTTAATAAGGGAAATTGTCTAAAACTCACCATGAGTTTTCAACATTTCTCTTAAACTTACTACAACTTTTCAAAATGTCTAATACTCATCATGTCAGTAAGTTTTTATTTTCCAAACATCACCTTCCGTTAGCGCACTGTTAATGCTTCTTAACAGAGGTGTCCATGGCAACATAAATAACAATTATCATGACCAAACTACCCTTGAATGGTGAGTTAGAGGAAAAATGGTATTTTTCAATTTTCAATTTTCTTGTTCTTTATTCGCATTTTCAGTATTTTGTTATAATTTCCAATGTTTTTTATAATTTCTGTTTTTTTACAATTTTCTATTTTCTACAATCTATAAATTTTCTTGTATTTTTGTTATTTATTTGCAATTTCTGTGTTTTTCTATAATTTTTGATGTTTCTCTACAATTTTTATTTTCTGTTTTTTTTTTCAATTTCTATAGTTTCTTTAATTTGAAAATAATTTTTTATTTTGTTTGCAATTTCTATAATTTTTATATTTTTTTTGTAATTTCTATATTTTTATGTATTTTATTTTTGAAAATATTTTTTAAACCTTTTTTTCATGTCTAAATATCAAAATGGTAATATATTAACACCCATTAATTTATTTTGTGTATATTTTATATTTTTTTATGAAGGTTAAAATGGTAATATATTAACACCCGTTAGTTTGTTTAATGTCAAGTGAGTGACATGGTGAGTTTTAGACATTTTTAAAAGTTGTGGTGAGTTTAAGAGAAATGCTGAAAACTCATGGTGAGTTTTAGACAAATTCCCATTTAATAAAAAAGAGTAATTCTTGCAAGATTTTAAGCAATAATTTGTGCAATTTTGGATAAGTTTCAATGAACTATTTATTTCTAATTATTGCTAGTAATTATTAATTATCAAAAAATAATTGATAATTATTATTGTAATTTATGGTTAGAAAAAAAATAATTTAATATAAAGGTTTCCACGCTAATGAAATGTACTGAAAAATGATTAATTGATAATTATTTTATTTATTGAAAATAATGAAAAATATTGTCACAAGTCATGGCAAATTTCAACGAAATAATCTCTTTTTACATGAACATACCTGGTTGAATTATTTGATATTGTTACATTTAATATTTTGCTTTATTTCTATAGATTATTGTAATTGATATAGCCATTACTGTTCATGGCGGATCCAATCCGATCCGAAGATCTAGTCAGATCTGATAGGTAAGGATCTAAATTCGAATCCGATCAGGAAGTCGAATCTTCGGATCCTATCCTATCTGAATTTGTTTTTTTTTTTAAATTATTAGACGATTAAAAGAAAAAATAAAATATACCAATTTAAATAAAGAAAAACAAAAAAATACAAGTATTTTTTTAATTATTTTCATCATATACATACATGTTTTTTATAAAAAATAAATAATATAACAAATTTACAAAAATACAATATAAATAATATATCTGTAAATAAATAAATAACATATATATGTATTATATATATTTATATACATAAATATATAACATATATAGGATTGGATAGGGGGTGATTTGAATCCGATCCAAAGATCCGAATAGGGGCTATTCGAATCCGACCAAATAGGATCGGATTGGATCATGATCTGATCCATTTACACCCCTAAGTAGATTTATGGATTTTTTTTTAAAAAAAATCCAAAAATTACAAAAACAATTTATTTTATGTCTAAAATGATTTATGAAACCATTGATCCAACAATAATTTATGCCAAAAATGATATTTTTTCTTCATTTTTGGTAATTTACACATAAAAATAATAAAAACTAAAAGTCTAAAATGATTATATTAATATTTATACATATTGATTATTTGATGAAATAAAATTATTATTTATCTATATATTTAAGATTTCTGATATTGCTTGTTGTTGCCAAATATAGAGTCTAGGGCAACAACGTAATTTCTAGCGTCTGAGGTCGATGGGTCCAAGCTGTTGAGAGAAAGAAGATGTTAGAGGCCCTGAGAGTTATCCCAGGGAAGAAGACTCCGACGGTCAAGTTAGCAGAAGGTTGCAAGGGTTGGACCAAGCAAGAAAGGAGACTTAGAGCTTAAGTTCCAAAGAGTCTTTACCTCAATGTGGGAGACCCTTTTTATAGTTGGAGTTAGGGGTGCTCATGGTTCGGTTAATCAAACCATGGGGTAAATTTTTGGACCGAATTGGTATGTTTGGTTTTTACATTTAATCGAACCAAAACTGAACCGATGCAATCGATTAATTGGTCAACCGGTTAACCGGTGGATCGTTTAACCGTGGTTCAGTTTTTTGGTTTTTTATACCCTTAAAATAAAAAAGGAAAAACAATAGAAGAGAACTAGGATGCCACTTTGCCGGTGTCGCCGAGATGCAATAGAGCCTCCAACCTGCAGCCAAGCCTTCGGTGTCGCTGAAGAGGCAAGAGAGAGAGCTCAGAGAGAGAGAGAGGCGAGAGTTGCGAGACTCGAGACTCGAGACTCGAGACGAGAGAGAGAGAGAGAGAGAGAGAGAGAGAGAGAGAGAGAGAGAGAGAGAGAGAAAGGGATGAGGGAAATAGGGAATAGGGATCTTGTGCGCACGGGGTGGGTGCTAGAGTCAGACGACTCAGACTGTCAGACAGGCTGTTCGCCAGTCTGGCAGCTTGAAAGTCTTAGACTATCAGTAGTCAGTTCGGTAGTTTAAAACTTTAAATGTGTTTATTAGATTCAAAAAATATATATAATATATATAATATTATATAAAAATATATTACTATATATCGGTCGGTTCAGTTAATCGTTAGTTTTTTTTTAAATGATTAACCGAAACTGAACTGGAACTGTCAGTTTTCTGAAAATATTGAACCGAAATCGAACTGATCGGTTCGGTTTTGGTTGGTTCGGTTTTTTGGTTATTTTTGCTCACCCCTAATTGGAGTTGCCTTAGAGGAGGAGCAGGTGGGAGCAGGGGGCGGCTATTGGCAGTGGTTAGTGATGAACGACCTGGATACATCCGACCAATGCCACGTGCCAAGGTCCCTAGGTCGGCTAGATATTCCTACATCACTTGCCCCCCACTTTTGAGGCTGTATCGGCCAAGGTCAGTTGGCAAATTTTGTAGAGGCCTCGACTTTGGCCGAAGAGAGTATGGAAGATGCGTGTAGAGGCGTCTGCCTAGGCTGTAGAGCTCTTCTCAGTGGCTGTGCGGTAACTGCTCCTCCGTTCACCCTTTGCGTCAATAAAGGACCATCCCAGACTGAGGGGATGTGACTGTGGCTCGTGCAGTGTAGGCTATCCTCTCCATTGTCCATGGCCTGTACGGGTGTTGATGTCACCTGTCATATGTCCGTATGCAGGATGAGCATTGGGGTTGATTGAATGAAGCCGTAAACAAGACGATATTGGGGGGGAGGGGGTTCTGCGTATCCTTGAGCCGGAGTTGACGGGTGAAACAACCCCGTCTCTTGGCATCATTTCGTCTCCTGAGGTTGGTGCTACATGGAGCCCATCGGTTCGGGCTATCAGGTCTGCAGGTCCACTGCCGTTGGATCAATTGGATTTGAGCTGTACATTTTTTTTTAATAGGGAAGACACCTCGGCTATCAACAACCAATCTCTTAGACCCTCTTTAACTAACATTTTTAGGTAAAGAGTTCCTATCCCCAACATGTTGGCCTTGGATTTTGGTTGTGAGGCTTATAGCCTTCCTAACTGGAGTAGTCCTAGCAACACTCCTAGTAGTGATGGGAGTGACAGTAGTGACTCTGAAAACTCCTCTCGGACGTATAGCGTCTAAGTGTTGAGAGAGAGGGTCGTGTCTCACGGGGCCGAGCGTGACCAGCAGATTGCGAACTTTGCCAATGAGAGTACCAATTCCATGCGGTCGAGGTCTGACGCCCCAAGGAATGTTCTTGGGCTCCCTGATGTGTAGGAGTGTAAATGGATTGGATTCGAATTGGATTAGGCAATATCCGAATTCAAATTCGATTAGAAAATTCGATATCCGACGGATATTGAAAATTAATATTCGAATTTGAATCCGATTAAATATTCGAATATTTGATTCGAATTTGATTAATTAATTATTTTAGATAATTAATATATATATAATAAATGTTTTATTGATATAAAGTATATAAATATATAATTTTTTATATCACTTAATT